GTCTTTTCCTGATTTCTTCCTCAGCTGTAAGTTGGTTTGTTCTCTCCCACAGAAGGCTATTGCTGATGGTATCCGGCCAATGGATGTTGCGTATCTTGCGTAGACAGCTATTTATAAATACTTGTATATTCTTGATTGTTGTCATTGTAGTTCTCCAAGTCTCAGCTCCATACATTAGAACTGCCTTGACATTCGTATTGAAGATTCTCACTTTGATATTGGTTGAAAGTTGTTTTGAGTTCCATATGTTCTTCAATTGTAGGAATGCTGTCCTTGCTTTACCAATCCTCGCCTTTACGTCTGCATCTGAACCTCCTTGTTCATCGATGATGCTTCCCAGGTATATGAAGGATTCTACATCTTCCAGAGTTTTGCCATCAAGAGTGATTGGATCGCTGTTCTCCGTTTTGAATTTGAGGACTTTGGTTTTCCGGTTCAGCAACACTCTGTTAATGACTTTCCCTGGTAGTGACAGTAGTGTAATGTCTTAACTTAAATGAAATAATTTATAACTTATAATTGAAACAATCAACAAGATGTACATAGTAACATTTGACATTTTTAGTATTTCTTGTATCGAAATTGTAATGTTGATAATAATAAAACAAACATTTCATAATCAATAATCATAACTGACTAAACAAAGTTTTATATAAGTACCCTTAATAATATATTGATTTTTAGATCTCTCTTAGTTTCACTTTTAGATCAATAATAAAATATTGATTTTTAATGTTAGATCATTAGAGAGAGAGAAAGAGAGAGACTCTACAGGTATAAATGGATTGTATAATTTAGTTCATGTAAAGCATGATAGAAATTCATTCAATGTTAGGATATTTATATTACTATCCTAAGGAGTGTTTGTAGCTGACTAGCTTATTCGGTTGTTGTTGTTGTTGTCTGACAGTTTTATTTTTTGCATCATTTTATATGTATGAATAGACTTAAAGTATAATCTTATTGATGTCAATACTCGACTTTGGGTGATACCTTTATATAGTGGTAGGGTTTTCTCATTGTAATAACCTGATCATGGTATACTTACTTACTTACTTACTTTTTCTGGTAAGCGTTTTTTTAGCGAGTTAGTTTTCTACGGGATGGGGACGCCAACCCCATGCCCAACCCTCCTCCTTTAACCAGGCTTGGGACCGGCAGTAACTCTAGAAGAGCTACAGGTGGAGTTGGTATACTGGTTGGAATATTGGTTCCTTTAGATCCTATCATACCAGGTAGGTTGATTGAAAAGTGGTTAGTGTGAATTTAGTAATTAAAGATGAAGTTATGCTATTACTATTCTGAAGTGTGACGGCAGTTGGTTGTTCGCCTTAGACATTGAGCATTTACAGTAATACTTTCTTCCTACAATGGAAGAAGGAGGTTAGAAAAGATTGACCCTAAAATATCACTCCTCAATTTACCTCAGGGAACTTTCGTCATAAGAAGTATAGCAACTTGTAGACGCATTGTATGATAGTTACAAATCGTATTTATAGGCTGAATACATATAATAAAAGGTCAGTCAATGACACAATCAGAGGTCGACTGAACAATACGGTCACTCTGAATATTAAGACAAGTGAAGACGATGAAACCTACATGAACAACCACTTACAAACAAGAGTATAAGGGCGAAATTGATGTGAGACTTGTGAAAGCTTACGTTTACATGAAGTCAACTCTGATAATATTGTTTAGTATCACAATTAAAGCTTCTTAGTTTAGGTGTCTAATTCATAAAACTTGAACATACCGAAAAAACTATTCAATCACTCTAGTTTTGATTATCTCGTTTATTTTATTTATTTATTTGAACACATAGATATTGGTACAAAGAGGTATCAAATACATATGCGCCACACAGATCTCATTTGATAAGTATGAGGGCCGTGATACTGCACGGGTGCCCAAACCAAGGCAGGTGGTTTTCTTAGGGGGCCACACCTGAGGCCTTCGACCTGAAGGTCTGATCCACAAAGCAGTGGAGCATCGTGAGGAGATACAGTTTCATGGTAGCTGGTGACCAATACTTGATTCGTACGCCATTTGTTCCCTCACGATTCTGGAGCCGATGTACACCACTGGTTTTGGATCAGGGTTTTCGAACTCCCCTAGAGAGATCCTCCATATCCACCAACCCGGTTAAAGCACTGGACATTCGCTTTTCGTCCTCTCAATTTCGTAAACAACACCCGTGGTTTAAGAAGGCAGAGAGTAGGAATTCCCTGGCAGAGGCTATATGCCCGTGGCAATATGAGAGCATTTGGAGAGGGAGAGAGGACCCTCCCCACTCTCGGCCATATTAGGGCGTTTGGGGGCTACCACTTGATGAATCTCTAACTTTGCAAACTTTAGTTATTTCCAATTTCTACAACAGTTTTTGGTATTTCACTTTACTTATAGATTTGCATAAATATAGTTTTCAATGTTTTGTGGTTGAGATAATCGAATGAAAACTTTAAATCGAGATTTCGTATCAGTAGTTTTGAAGGGACTAGTACTTCAACTTCACAGTCTGAAACGTTCCCAACCAGCAATTCGAGCAGTGATTAACCTTCTATATGGTTGAAATATTTACAGTTGATCGATAGGGTCTGATTAGCACTGAAAGAATTAATATGAATGATATTGATCAGTTCTCAGTGATCAACCAATTTTAAACACCTTACAATATTCTAATACCTAAGTGAATAAAGCATAAATAAGTCATTGTACCTTCAGTTTATGATGAGAAACATGGTATTTCATGAAAGAATTTCAATGCTAATGTCCAGTAGAATATGGTAGTCAAAATTTATCGAAAACATTATAGTTATTCATTCAGTTATAAACATCATGGAATTCAGCACATAAGTGGATCGATTCATATAACTTTGCCAAATCAACAAACACTGAGATGATCATAGGTGTCTTCGAAGCATTGCTCGTACATCCTGAGACTACCGAGTAAGTAACCCAGTTGTTAAAAAACGGGTACTAGGATGGCAAATCAATTGATAAAGTAGTGAAACTTCATCAGTTGAGATGGCTGGGACATGTATTACGTATGCCCAAACACCGACTACCTCGATGTGCGATGTTTTGTTGTATAGGAGTAGACTGGAAGAAAGCTAGGGGCGGCCAAACCAAAACATAGCACAAGTCCATGAAGTCACTGACAAGTAGACTGAGTCATGTTGGTAGGTGTAGACTACCTGGTTGGGGACCGCGAGATGACAGCAACCGATGGTTAGAGACCCTGAATGACATGGTTCAAAATCGTTTGCAATGGCGCAGGTGCATCCACTCTTTGTGTTCTCCCAAATTCTAATCTTCTGAATTCTTCATGTCCCTTTCTTTTTTCTCTTTCCAAATTTATTGAATAACATATTCAAACCCTAGTCTTTCCGATTACTGCTTATACTTCTACTACCTCTATCACTATGGGATTTGAATTGACAATTGTATCTCTGTGATAATGTGGTATGGCAACTTGAAATAAAGTACCTACATACGAATTTCTACATTGTTGCTGACTGAGTGAATGAGTATATTTCATGGTAGTAAGAGAAAAGACTCGGCACATGAGAAAAAAAGGATAAAGTTTACAGAATTAAAAGAAGCGGAAACTATTTTATCATCTTTAAATGCAGGATTCAAGCAAATACAAAAAGTGTGTACGTCTATATTATTCCGACTGATTACAAATCAGGTCACCCAATGTTTCTAACTCCTAGTTACAACACAATACAAAATGGCTCAAAACCCCTTCTGATATTAATCAACATATGCTCACTAGTGACTGGCTTCAAGATGTATATCCTAGAGTTATAGTGAAAAGCAGTGACCAGTGAAGTTCAACTGAGTCTGATGTAAGATGCTAATGAACTGAAGACAATAGTGAGCAGTGACCCAATTTTATGGATTGGTTGAAGTTGAACATTAACGCTGTTGGTTGCCAGATGGCTCAATGATCTAAAAGGTAGGTGCTCGCATGCGACACTCATATGTCCTGGGTTCGAGTCTCATGAGACGAGATCGTGGATACGCACTGTTGATGAGTCCCACAATAGAACGAAACGGCCGTCCAGTGCTCCCACGTTTTCCACAGTGGTCTAACTTCAACTGACTCATGTTATCAACTATTGTAATCAATATTTATGAAGAATAAGAGTACTTCAGAAAAAAATAATCATTAGTTATAATTGTGTTTAAATTCTATATTGTTCAACATTTAATTTAGGTTGATCCATTTGAAAATTTTAAAGAAAGTAACAGTGTAACGTGTAATTAATTACTAATTGTGCAACTATGTAATTGTGTCTGTGTGCTAATGTATGTCTATATATATGTATGTGTGTATGTCGTTTATTTTTTTTTCTCATTGACAAAAACCTTCCGCCTAAACATTTTCTTTTTTCTGTTTACTAAAGTGTGCTGTTTCGCTCTCTCTCTCTCTCTCACACACACACACACACATTTTTCTTGTTGCCACCATCCAACACCCCTCCCCTCCCTGTCCATTTATGTATTGATTTGTAAGTGTTTTTATTCTTTTAGAAAGTTTGTTTATTTTATTCCACCCATGATTAGTTAATAAATATGAAAGAACAACAAATAGCTTCATAAGTATTATTGTTATTAGTATTATAATTGTTATTAATTAATTTGTTTATTTATTTCAGATTATTTATTGAACATGAATGATAATTTGATGTGAATAAATTGTATATTAGATTTTTTTTAAAAAAAAATAAGATCAGATCATTCTAGTTGTCAACAAAAGAAAACAAACAAATCACTATCACCATCATCATCATCATCGTCATCATCGTCATCACCACCACCACCACCATCAACAACAACGACAACGACAACGACTTAGATCTAGTTCTGATCATTCTACAAACCAAACACAAACATTCATCTAACCGGAATTTAATCCAATTTCTTACTTCATTGATTACATATATATATATAGATAGATGGATGTTAAGGGAATTTAATAAATCCTATAAATGGTAATACAAATGATTGATCATTTATTGATTTTCTCTTTATTATTATGTCCAATAATTATTTGGGCTGAATTATCATCATCGTCATCATCATCAACAGCATTAATGACTACAATATCTCCTGTAAAATTAATTCATTCTAAAATAATTTATTCAATGGATATGAATCCAATTGGAATATGTCAACCACCATGTTTAAATAATGGAATATGTCGTCGTGATCGTCATCCCCATAGTAATAGTAGTAGTAGTAGTAGTAATAATGATAATTTAAAGGAAAATGATTCAAAATGTATTTGTACACCAGATTTCAAAGGGATTGATTGTGGTGAAGGTAAGTATGATATAATTATTGTTGAAATGTAACTTTATGTGTGTGTGTGTATTGTGTTGATGAAATTTTGAAAAGATACTTTTCTAATAAGAAATTATGGGTGTGAAACAAATGAGATTATGATGTTATTGTTGAAGAGTCCCACAATAGGACGAAATGGTTGTTCAGTGCTTCCACTTTTCCATAGTGGTCTAACTTCAACTGAATCATGATATCAACTATTCATGATTCAACTATCCAGTGCTTCCAGGTTTTCCATGGTGGTCTAGCTTCAATTGACTCATGATTTCAACCAGTGAGATTTCTAAAATCTCCACAAACCCTTTCTGATAATAATCATCTGCTCACTGGTGACTGACTTCAAGAGATATTCCTGGAGTTCTAGTGAGAAGTCGTTACCCGTGGAGTTCAACTAGGTCGGTTGTGAGAAATCAACTCACTGAAGACAATGGTATACGGTGGCGCAACTTCGTGGATTGGTTGAAGTTAGACATTAACACCATTGGACGTCGGCTTAGTGGTCTAGTTGCTTAAGCGCTTGGCGCGAGACTGATAGGTCTTGGGTCCGAATCTCTTGGGGTGCGGGACCGTATATGCGCACTGCTGAGGAGTCCCATACTAGGACGAAACGGCCGTCCAGTGCTTCGAGGTTTTCCATGGTGGTCTAGCTTCAATTGACTCATGATTTCAATCTTTGAAATATTTTAAAAATATATATATATATATATATATATATATATATATATATATATATATATATATATATATATATATATATACAGGGGATATAAAATAAAGCTTGTATGTTACCATTGTTAATGTTAAGGAATGTAAAATGATCAGTTTCTATTGAAATAGGAGGGAATCTGAATTCGTAATTCCATTTTCATCCACTATTCAACATTAAAATATTTGGTAACTAAATGATAATACTGAGTCAATTTTGTTCAAGACTGATCGATTTCAAATGTTAACATCAATAACCAGGAAATACAAGTCCTTACTGATCCTGAGTGTTGTTAGAGGTATGTGAGCGGTTATCACTTCCTGGTTGCCCACACCGTGGAACGGTTCTTCTAGAGGTACCTGAAAAGGAAATTGTGTTAAGGGTGGTCTCAGTGACTTGGGAGCGTGATACCAGTGCCAAAAGTTCAACTGTTTCAGACAGGTCACACATAATCTTTTTGTGAGTAGTTCTCGTGTCAGCTCCGAACTTGGCTAGACCTTATTGCCAGAGATAGAAATCCGTGGAGTAAGAAGACATATGCATTTTCAGGGTCGACATTTTCTACCCCCACCCTTCCTTATGGGAAGGCAGCATCGCTGCTATGGTGGTTGTCTGAAGGAAACACCTTACTGCTGTCTGTACAGTCAGCAGAACGATATTTCCCTCGAACCTTGGGTTTACTGCTTTTAGACTTACCGCTCTTCAACCGACCTGTCTGGCATGGTAAGACCTTGAGAAACGATTGTTCCAGCCAGTATAGGTCGATTAATTAATCACGATAGGCAAGCCCGACCATCACGTCAAGTTAGCATCAACGGTCGGGTCCTTACTAATACATTCATACCTATTGAGTAAGTTACTGTTTATCTGGGCTCAGTTACTTAGTGAATAATGCAGTGGTCATTCAAAATGAAAGGTACTGGGTATCCTGATTAGGATGATCATCATTGAGAGGAAAGTACATCTGACAGACTAATCCCAAGAAGATCAAAAAAACATTTTGGATTTCAGTACTCACTACTATCCAACTTTTAAAAAAAACTCTTCATTTGATTGTAATTTTTTAATCTCTTGTAACAAAATATGTACATTCATAAAAACTAGGTATGTTTCATAATTAACTAGAGGTAATTTGACACTAAGTACAGTTATTATTATTAGTGAACTGTATAATTTGACTTGCTAGCCAACATTCAAGTCGACCAAATTAATGACTTAATTTCTACTTATTTAACAAGTAAACTGTTGTGACTTTAAGCCTGGCTAATTATCACATGATTTATTCGACAATCGAAATACAACTTATACAATCTTAACATTGTGCCAAACCAATGGTGTATCGACCAGTATGAGTAACGTAGCATCCATATTGAACCTTTTTCCTCCTAGCCTTTTCAGTTGAGTCCAGAATACCAATATCATCTTCCACTAAGCAAATCATTTATTTCAAACATACTTACTTGATCTATGTACCAACCAAACAGACTGTATCACACCATAAAATAGGAACTAACATTTGTACAAGATCAAGCCAAGAGGTAGCTGTGAACGTGAGAAACTGTAATCAACATATGCCCTTGTACGGCCGAGAGTGGGGCGAGTCAGCTCTCTTTCCCCAAATGCTCTCACATGACCACGCGTATATAGCCTCTGCCATGGAAGTCCTACTCACTACCTTACTTACTTACTTACGCCTGTTACTCCTCGTGAAGGAGCATAGGCCGCTCACCAGCATTCTCCATCCAACCCTGTCCTGGGCAATCCTTTCTAGCTCCGTCCAGTTGTAATTCATCATTTTCATATCTGATTCTATTATCCGACGCAATGTGTTCTTTGGCCTTCCTCTTTTCCGCTTCCCTTCACGATTCCAAGTTAGCGCTTGCCTCGTGATGTAGTTTGACGATTTGCGCAATGTATGTCCTATCCATCTCCATCGTCTTTTCCTGATTTCTTCTTCAGCTGGAAGTTGATTTGTTCTCTCCCAAAGAAGGCTATTGCTGATGATATCAGGTTAATGGATGTTGAGTATTTTGCGAAGAGAGCTATTTATAAATACTTGTACTTTCTTGATTGTGGTTGTAGTAGTTCTCCAAGTTTCAGCTCCATACAGTAGAACTATGTTGACGTTCGTATTGAAGATTCTCACTTTGATATTGGTTGAAAGTTGTTTTGAGTTCCATATGTTCTTCAATTGTAGGAATGCGACCTTTGCTTTGCCGATCCTCGCCTTAACGTCTGCATCCGATCCTCCTTGTTCATCGATGATGCTTCCCAGGTATGTGAAGGACTCTACATCTTCCAGAGTTTCGCCATCAAGTGTGATTGGATTGCTGTCCTGCGTTTCGAATTTGACGACCTTGGTTTTCCCCTTTGTGTATGCTGAGGCCTACTGATGCAGAGACTGCTGCTACACTGGCTGTCTTCATCTGCATCTGTTCGTGTGTACGTGATAGGAGGGCTAGGTCATCTGCGAAGTCCAAATCGTCTAATTGATTCTGAGCTGTCCATTGTATTCCATGTTTTCCTTCAGATGTTGAGGTCTTCATAATCCAGTCGACCACTAGAAGAAAGAGGAAGGGAGAGAGTAAACAGCCTTGTCTGACTCCGGTCCTTACTTGGAATGCATCTGTCAGCTGTCCTCCATGCACTACTTTGCACTGTAGTCCGTCGTATGAGTTCCGGATAATATTGACAATCTTCTCAGGAACTCCGTAGTGTCGAAGAAGTTTCCATAATGTCCTCCTATCTACACTGTCGAATGCCTTTTTATAATCAATGAATTTGATGTATAGTGATGAGTTCCACTCAACTGATTGTTCGACGATGATCCGTAGTGTTGCAATTTGGTCTGTGCACGACCGATCCTTACGGAATCCAGCTTGTTGATCCCACTACCTGCTCGCAGCATTATTGTTGTTTACGTAATTGAGGGGACGAAAAGTGAATGTTCGTCGCCTTAACCGGGTTGGTGGACACGGAGGGTTCACCTAGGAGAGTTGAATCCTAAGGGAACAAATGACGTATAAACCTATTGTTGGTCACCGGTTACCAAGGGACTGCATAACCTGACGTCACTCCACTGCCTTATAGATTAAACCTTTAGGTCGAAGACTTGGGGGGCCGGCCCCCTAAGAAAACCGTCTGCTCAGGTCTGGGCACCCAAGCAGTATCACAGCCCTCACACAAATTGAATGATTTATGTGGCGCATATCTATTTGGTACCTCTTTGTACAGATGTTTATGTGTTCAAATAAATAGATAAATAAAATAAGTAAACATATCATAGTCTATAGATCATAATGTAGCTTATAATAAGAGGGATATGAATATACATAATCTAGTAACTGAATAGTTATACAGTAATATTAGTCTATTAATAGTTCACAGAAATTACCCGTAATTTAATCTTCACTAGGATATAACATAAACATGTACAAAACTTTACTAGTTTTCCTTCTTATTTGCGTATTCTTATAATCATGACCAAACCATCTAGCTCAGAGAATAAGACTCTATCAAAAAGTGTAGATTTAGTCCTCCGGTTATGGAAAGCGACCATGAAGTCGGATTGAGCGTTCATCTAACATGACTTATCGATTACATGTCTTAAGCTTTAGTGAAGTTTACCTAAACTAGCAAATCAGTAAAAATGACCAACTTTTGAGATGGTGGAGAAGATTTGTAGCTCAGGTGGATGATTTTGGTGAATTTTTGTTCTCTGAGCTCCACGACCAAACCATCCAGCTCAGAGAACAAAACTCCACCAAAATGACTAACTTTTAGATGTTGCGTGGTATATTTATAGATATTTATCACACATAGGTATCCCTGTGAATCTATTTTTTTGAATTTGAACACGTATTTATTTCATTAGGTTTCTATTTGATCATACAAGATTATCTGAAATTCTCATAGTTATAAGAGCTGTGTTAAAGTTTATGTGAAAGTTTTTGTACTAACACACTTATAGTAACTAACTGTTAGTTATTAAGTGGATTGTTAAGAATTTGTGGAGATCGTTTAATTCGATGTTTATTTCATAGTTTTATAAGGCAGATTGACTACAATTAGACAATCAGCGGAAACTACAAGGCACTAAGCAACTGTTTCATTACAACATAAAACTATTCAGCATTGGACATCCATGATTCCACGACAGAGGTTAATATCTAGGACCTCGAAACCTCATAGCGAGCCCTTAGGCTTTAGAATATTGAGCTGGCATCGAATGGTTTCGATTTCTAGCTACACTTAATCTGGGATGTTAACCAAACATTAACCATCTCCGTTGATGAGATTTATCTTATCTCACATATGATTGAATTTCCTCAGTCATGAATTCGTATTAAAACTCCAAGAATTTGAAGTTTTCATGAATTGACATTAGTTTCGAAAAGTTGTGGAAAAGCTAGGAGCCAGTGAATTTCTGTTTTGTCATAGAGAAAGACTCTATTTATTCTGTTACTGAACACCAGTAACAATTACTGATCTTAGATAAAATAGTTATTCAGTGCAACCAAGTTTTGAACAATCAACTATCTTGAATGACTAAGAGATTGAAGATAATCATCTACCGATAATCATTGTTATTCATGGTGAATATAGAGGATCCACCAAGGGGAGTTGGAAAACCCTGATTCCAAACCGATAGTGTACATAAGGCTACAGGATCTTGAAGGAACAATTGTCGGTCACTCGCTACCTGGACACTTCATCACCTGACGTTGCTCTACTGCCTTCTGGATCAGATCTTTAGGTCGAAGGATCCTGGTGTGACCCCCGAAGAAAACCAAATTCTTCCGTTTGGGAACTCACACAGTATCCCACCCAACACAAAAATCAAGTGAATTTTGTGGCGCATATGTATTTGTTGCCACTTTGTACCAATATTTATGTGTTCAAGTTAAATAATGTTATTCTTGATGCTAATCGAATCATATAGATCAAATTGTAATGTGCTCACTGTTAGTCTAAACGCTTTTGACATCACGTGTAAATATCTTAAATGTCATGTAATCAGATGTAGTTGGTAAAAGACTCTGCTTGACTTGAGTCTCTCACTATTTGACATTAGTCATCACAGGTCAAAATGAGAAAATCTAATGTATTTGGAGAGATTAGAATGTCATGTCAACCAGCTTCATAGTTTGAGACATCATTACTGAGCTATTCGAGTCATAACTAACCTCTATTATAAAACTAAGATACAATGAGTAATTACTGAATAGTAATAAATGTCGTATTTGTTTAATCATTATTGTTGATTAAATTCTCTATCAATCTAGTTGTAGCATAACTACTAGTCTTAATGATTTGAACTTGTATACAGTATTGTTTTGATCTGAAATGACTGGAAGTAAAAGTAAGAAGTTTTAGACATAGCCTTAGCGAGAAGTGTAACATTGACGACAAATATATATATATATATATATATATATATATATATATATATATATATATATATATATGAGAGAACATCAATAAAACTTTTAAAATATTCACAGACTACCATTCTCAATGAAAATGTTTATGAGGTAGTAACTCACTGAAGACAATGATGGATGTATCGCTCAATTTCGTGGATTACTTGAAGTTAAACATTAACACCGTTAGTTGCCAGCTGGTTCAGTGATCTAGAAGGTAGGTGCTGGTACGTGAGACTGATAGATCCTGTATTCGAATCTCGTGAGACAGGATCGTGGATGGGCACTGTTGAGGAGTCCCACAATAGGACGAAATGGCCATCCAGTACTTTCAGGTTTTCCATAGTGGTCTAACTTCAAATGACTCATGATCTTAACTATTGTTAATGCTCATATCAATCGCAGATTACTATTTCTTTTTAATTTTAGAAACCTAGTCAAGTACTAGGATAATTTTATTTACAGGGAAAAGTAAAGGTTAAAGAACTACAATGTGTTCCATAATATAAAGATCATGTTTAAGAATATATATGGATGTGAATGTAAACTACATTCAAGTAGGTTAAGCGTTCGCGTGTGAGACTGAAGGCCCTGGGTTCGAGTCGTGCGAGCGCACTGTTGAGGAGTCCCACAATAGGACGAAACGGCCGTCTAGTGCATCCAGTTTTCCAATGGTGGTCCAACATCAATCGGTTCATGATCTTAATCAAAAAAATTCAAGTTTCTACTTGAATTACACTTAAATGATAGCATGATAACAATAAAGAGAATATGTGATAAGATGATATAACAAGAGATTACTCTAATGATAATAATAATAAGATATTAATCATATGTTTTAACAATGATTTATCATATCAAATTGTCAATATTTAAGACTATAATAGATTAGTTTCTATTGCTCTTTAATGTAACCTGAATAATTTGACGTGACATAAAGCTATATTGAGGCAATGGACTTATGGTGTAACAGGGACAAAGAGAGAGTGATCAATGGTAGTGTTAAATATCAATAAATTGAAACTGGAAATCTATACTGATTGAACAAATGAATGATATTCTAGATTTAGTTGTTTAATAAATAGCACATTAGGTGTTTGATATAAAAAGTACTAAACTCATGTGGTTATATGATCCTAAACTCTAGCTGATGAGTTGTATGTAAGACAGAATGCAGTCAGTCAGTCAGCTAAAACGTAGGGTCAGGCATCGATCCAAGTTACCATACCTCATTGGCACAACAAGATGAACAACGGATTCATAGAAGTATTTAATTCAGTGGTTGTAATATATAAAAGGAAGATTGCATATCAGGATGTAGTGCAGGAATAAAGAATTAGTTCGTTGAAAGAAATATGTGAAGCCATTTTAATCTCATAGTTTAAGGGAAGACAGAGAGTGTTCTATACACCGACGCCATCGTGATCGATTGTGAGCCATGCCACCGAGAGTCTCCAACCATTGGTTACGATAGTCACACGGACCCCAAACAAGTAGTTTGCATCTACCAACATGGATCAAACCAGAAGTTAATGTCTTCAAGTACTGATGCCACGTTTTGGTTTGGCCACCCCTAACTTTCTTCCAGCTATCTCCAACACCGGTTAGTGACGACTGATGTGTATATTTCATTTTATTACACATTGAATATAGTTGGAAATGTTTATAAATACACATCAATCCAGTGACATGATATTATTGCGGTTTCTGTAAGGCCTGAATGTTTTAAGGGCATGCTGATAAACAGTCCCGAACTTGAACGAAACAAATGTCCAACGCTTTCTACTTCTCAGTTAATCTTATAAACTATTGATATAAAAGGTTTGCAGAGATTTTTCAGTTTCATGGTTTACATAACTAATTGACATTATTAAGATCTTCAGGTCTCACAGTGAGCGATTAACCTTTGTGGCATTTAGTTAACATCAAGCAAACAAAATTTATCATTTCAATCAAGTCACAATATTGTGATCAAAGTTAGAAATATAGACCGTTGGATGTTATCGTATTGATCTAAAGATTAGACACTCATCATATAACTTGATGGTCATGATTTTGATGGAGTTTTGTTCTTTGAGCTGGATGGTTTGATCGTGGAGTTTTCATCATTCTTCTGAACAACACCATCAGCACAAACTTCAGGTTGAATTCTTCATCATCTGAAGGTCATGAATTTGACCCCTGGTAAGTAATGTAGCCGAGACCGTATACTTCGACGTAAGGAAGCCCTCCAGTATTTCTCAATTCTAAATGTTTGTCTAGCTAATATCATTACATCATGTAAACAAAGAAACTTTCTAAGTTATTTTTTCGAATTTCTATTCGAAAGTTCCTATTTTTTTCTTCCTTCATTGTATTATAAGAGACAGAAACAGATTTAACAAATTGTCAAGAATCAACATGTAAATATGGTGGAACATGTGTTGGTACATCAAAAACACCAAAATGTTTATGTAAAGATCATACACGTGGGAAACGATGTCAAAGACGTAAGTTAACGGTTAACATTCATGTATTATTATCAACTGAGATGTTTGTTAATTAGTAGATTAGAGTTTTATTAGTAACCCAAAAAATTTAAATTAGACTAGAGACAAATATCTACCTCAGTACAATGGATGATGGTCGCGCAATTTCGTGAATTGGTTAAGGTTAAACATTACCACTGTTGGATCCCAGTTCAGTGACTTAAATGTTAAGCGTTCGCACACGTGATCGAAGGTCCTGGGTTCGAATTCCGTGAACGCGATCGTGGATATGTATTGCTGAGGAGTCCCATACTAAAACGAGACGGCCGTCCAGTACTTCACCAGACAATACCAGCTTCTAACAGATTACAGTTACGTCATTCTTACGAGTATCAACTAGTATAAGATCTAGATGGAACAAGGGTTCCCAGCCGATTACCTTAAACCATTTAACACCTCAACATAGTAAAGTGATGTCAAATAATTCAGACTAGTATCTGCATTTCAGCTTGATTGATTGAATCCGATCAGCTCTAAACGTTGGACAAGTATAACAGTGACCAGTACTCAGTGACCAATCGGTTCAAAGGTTGATTAATCTTGTGTAGAGATAAATATGTCCATTTACCATCCAGTAAATGGTAAGTAAATAAGTACAATTTTAATGTTAAGTGATTTAATATAATCTTCGATGCAGATTCCATGTTAGTTGCTACACCTTAACCAAATTGTTTGTCCAAATTCTTGGAGGGGGGTTGGTTCCCCTAGAAAGATTTCAACAGACCTCACTCAATTCCCAAATCACAGATATTATCATTGAATATTTCGGTTAAAGACTAGCATGTAAGTTTGAGATAGAATAGACAATCAATGAACAATGATCGTTACTCTATAGCACAACTTAATTGAAGTTTGAACTGGACCATCAGGTAAAAATCTAATGATTTAAATGGTTGAGTGTTCACTGGTAGATCTATAGATCTTAAGTTCAATCCGCAATTATTTATGGGTTAGCATCTATGGCGACTCTTATACTGAGATAAAATGACAGTCCATCACTCCTTAGCTTTCAGTGATACTACATCTAACGAATACCACCTACGAATGCAACTATCGTTGGTCTTATTTAAGATCAAATGAACATAACCTTTTTTGGATGGTTCAGATTATTTATAGAAAACTTCCAACGATTTATTGGGATTTACAAGGAAATGCATTCACGTTGACTGTATTCGAAAAAATCTCAAACAGAAAGTAAAAAGCATTATAAGCAAGGTGGCTAGTAGTAAAATCCAAGACTGCTAACCATCATTCATCTCTGTTTACAATGTTTGTGAATTCAAGCAATATCTAGGAAATCCGCACAGGATGTACTCACAATTGATTGATCACTAGGTGGTGATCCATGTCATGTGTGTCAAGTCTTTCTTAGCGCAGATCAAATGCTATCGACCAAGTTGTAATGTGGCCAATAGTCTAAGTGATTCGACATTGCGTGCACTATGTTGAGAGAAGATGGTAGTTGAAAGTAGTCGACAGGAAAGCCTGAACTCGGTTTTCGTGCTATTTGGCACTCGTCAGCAAGATGTAATTGTAATCTTGAGAGAACTGGTGTTCCCTGACGGATCCGATCCCACCATCTTATCTCAACATAATGCACGCGATGTCGAGTCACCTAAACCAATGGCCACATTGCAACTTGGTCAGTAGCATTTGATTTGCACTAAGAGGGACCTAACACACATGATATTGATCATCACCCAGTGATCAATCAATTGTAAATGCAGCTCAGACCAACAGGAAGTCAGTCGCGGCCCGGATAGTCCAGTGGTAACGTCTCTAAGTGTGAAACTGAGTGATACGGGATCAAATCCGTCAGGGAGTACCAGTTTCCTCAAGATTATAGGTATATCTTGCTGACGAGTGTCAAATAGCATGAAACCTAGGTCCAGGGTTTCCTGTTGACAACCTTCAACCACCATCTTATCGCACAGGATGTAATTTGTTTACTACATTATAATACTGTTATCAATGTTTGTAAGTTCCTCTACCTTTTTTTAAAAAATTTTCAGATGACCTTATATTTGTCGTAGAACTTAAAATATACGATAATGGCAAAGAAGCTGTCTGGCAAAAAGACTTTGAAGACAAGTCAAGTTATTTATCTACCATTAAAGCATTAGATGTTTGTAAACTTGTAAGTTTTAGTTGAAAGCTTTAATTTTGATTAAATAATTAAATCAGAGAGGGGTTTTCTGGGTATTATAGTGATTTATTAGTTGAATTCATGAGTCAAATGAAGCTAGACCACCATGGAAAATCTGGAAGTACTGGACAGCCGTTTCGTCCTAGTATAGGACTCCTCAGCAGCGTTCATCCACGATCCCTCATTCGGGGTTCACGGTATTAAAAAAGTCGTAATCATTTTAAATGGAATAATAGATATAAGCAAAGTAAGTCAAGCTTGAAGCAGAGATGGATGGTGGTTAGCTGTAGAGTACAGTACGCAAGTTTCACCCTATTTCGGACTCGACAGCTGGTTGTACCTACATCCTGCAGTCTATGTTCACTGTGATACTTAAACTCAGTACTTTCCGCTTCAAATGTTATAATGTTATCTACCTAGTTACTGAGTCCAGATAGCTACTGGTTTTTTCAATCAAGTGAATTTTAACTCCTATATATCGCTTGTTTTGATCTTACCATTAATGTTTAGGACTGCAAATGATTACAAATCCACATATGCCGAAATACGAATTAATTGCAGTCCTAACCATTAATCGGCAGGTCTATTTACTCACTTGAGCTTGTTGCCTCTCTTAGAGGAACATAGGTCACTCACTGGCATTCCCCATACAACTCTATCCTGGACAATCCTTTCTGGTTGTTTCCAGTTGCTATTCATCCTTTTCATGTCTGCTTCAAATCCCTGACGAAACATGTTCTTCGGTCTTCCTCTTTTCCGTTTCCATTCGGGATTTCAAGTTAAGACTTGGCCTCATGATTCAGTCTGACAATTTCACAAATGTATGTCCTATCTACTTCCAACGATTTTTCCTCACTTCCTCTTCATTTGGAATCTGACTTATTCTCTCCCACAGTAGGTTGTTGCTGATGGTATCCAGCCAACGAATATTGAGTATCTTGCATAGACAGTTGTTTGATGATGATTGTAGTAGCTCACAAAGTTTCAGCTCCATACAATAGGACTGTCTAGATGTTTGTATTGAAGATACTGACTTTGATATTGGTTGAAAGTTATTTTGACTTCCATAATATCTTCAACTGTAGGAATACCACCCTTTCTTTGACAATCTCTCCTTTTAAATCTGAAACAACAACAACCTTGTTTAGACAAAAACGCTAACCAGGTAAGGTCTAAACAACCATTATATATGAATTCAAATTATTCATTTTAACTGTTAGCATTGTTATCACTATTTACATCGATTTGTACTTTTACTTAGGATGATTGCATATGTAATCTGTTTTATTGTTATAACTAGCTCATAAACTACCACCAATAGTTTATTATCTTTCACGTATACAGATAAGCATTACTATAGATTGGAATAGGGTGTGATACGGGTCTCTCTCCCTCTCGATATATATATATATATATATTAGCAAAGTAAATACTTCAGCTTGTCATCATCATAAACACCATCATCGTCAAGAAAGCAGTGACAAATCATTTAACCCAATAGTCTAATCATAAATAACATCATTTTCAGCATATTTGTTAGTGACATCATTGATAAATGAAAGTATATTGATTGTTTTCAGTTTGAGGTTGTAATGATTATTGAATTTCATTAAGAATCCTACGCATGGAATTGTAGATGTCCACTGCTGAGGAGTTCCACCCTAGGACGAAATGAGCGTCTAATGCTTTCAGGTTGCTAATGATGTTCCAATATCGATCGGTTCATGATTTCAATGATATACATCATTATTATTTATCAGATATATATATTCATTTGTGACAGATCGATTGAGTAGGAATTAAAAGCTACGGTTAGTTTCAGTCTAGGTACCATTGAAAACTATCCAGTACTGGATAACCAATTCGTCTTAGTGTAATGAGCAAGAGAACATGTGGGGACGATCGAATGTAATTCAGCGCGAAATTATAGAATCTTTTACTAAAATCTGACAACCATACAGTAAATTCTTCATTTGCAAAGTGTCAATCAATTGTCACAAACTTGACTGTTCCTTTTGCAAATGTCAATCAATCGTCTCAGACTCCATTGTTCCTTCATTTCCACAGCAATCATTCACTGTTCTCGTTCTCTTTTCTTCTATCTTCCTAACCTTTTGTTCCTAGGCAATTCACTTTCATTTGAGGATATATACTACTTATATCTGTCGACATCAGTAGCACACACCACACTAATATTGAATTGTTCAGCAATAAATACTGATGACTACGTAGGTGATCAAGACCTACAAGTAAATACGAATTAATTGACTGATATAAAACAGATTCGACAGAATATTACACAAACCTTTTAGGTATTAATTTTTTTCAGTCTATATCTTGTTATCAACCAACCAATCTGTTATAACTGTAACTTTTATAGATATGACTTCATCCTAATTATTAATCAAAATGGGTGTACAATCATTAGATAAATGAGACTAACTTGAACTATCATCGTTGTCGTCATCATGTTCTGTGGTCAATAAATCTTCACTTATACCAGTGTTTGTGTTCTTACTTTCGTGTCTCAGCCATTTTGGTAGATACAGACTACTTGGTTGGTGTCCGCGTGACTATCGTAACCAATGGTTGGAGGCTGTATGTGACATGGTTCAGAATCGATCACAATGGCGTAGGTGTATACACACTTTGTCTTCTTTTAAACTATGAGATTAAAATTGCTTCACATCTTTCTTTCTACGAACTAATTCTTTCTTCCTATACTATATCCTTATACAAAATCATTCTTTTATATATTACCACTATTGAATTAACTACATCTATGAATTCGGTGTTGATCTTGTTGTGCTAATGAGGTATTGCAACTTGGATCGATGCACATATGTGCCTGATCCTACGTTGTAGCTGACTGACCAACTAACTAACTAAATGACTTTCTTGTCGTAAAAATTACACAATTCCCTCATTTCGAATATAAGTGATAAACATTTCCGAGATAACAATCAATGATGATCCGATATATAACAAGTAACGTCCATTTTGACAAGACATACCCCCAAATGCCCTGGTATAGCCGAAAGTGAGGTGGGTCCGCCCTCCCTCTCGAAATGCTCTTACACGGCCACGCGTATACAGCCTCTGCCAGGTAAGTCCTACTCACTGCCTTCTCGCACCACGAGTGTTGATTACGAAAATGAGAGGACGAAAAGCGAATGTCAGGCGCTTTAACCGGATCTCAAACCAATAGTGCCCATGGGCTCCAGTATCCTGTGGGAACAAATGGCGTATGAACCAATTTTTCGGTCACCGGCTACCATGGGACTGCATCTCCTGACATTGATCCACTGCCTTGTGGGTTAGACCTTTAGGTCAAAGGCTCTGGGCGTGGCCCCCTAAGAAAATTACCTGCTTCGGTCTGGGCACCCGGGAAGTATCACAGCCCACACACAAACAGAATGAAATGATAATACTTAGGGAAAATAAAATAAGTAATGACAAGACATATTCATAATCATTATTCAATATAGTCACGGACAATTTACTATTATAACCTTATTTCATCTACCTTCTTTTTCCTTCTTGTTGTTGTTGTTGTTGTTGTAATTTAGCTTAAATTAAGTATCATTCGTGGATCAAATATACAATTATCGAATTCATTTATTGATTGTTATTTAATTACTTATCATAAAATATCAGTCATAATTGAAGTTGCATTAATATTAGATATAGAATTATCATTAATTCCATTGATAAATTTAACATTAATACAAAATCAAATTATGACTGGATTAAAAACAATGGATCCAAGTTTAAATGAATTCAAAACCATTTCATTAGATGATATCATTTCTGGGAATTCATCAACGTTTGCAGTTCATGGTAAGTACTACTTACGATGAATATCAGTAATAATAATAATAGTAGTAGTTTCAATAGTTGAGATCATGACTCAATTGAAGTTAGATTACCATCGAAAATCTGGAAGTATTCAATGGCCATCCACGATCCCAACTTGCAAGATTCGAACCCAAAACCTATCGGTTTCATGCGCCCTGGTACGACCGAGAGTAGGGAGAGACAGCTCTCCTTCTTCAAATGCTCTAACATGGCCACGCGTAAACAGTCTCTGCGATGGAAGTCCTACTCACTGCCTTCTCGCACTACGGATGTTGTTTACGAAATCGAGAGGACAAGAAGCAAATGTCTGGCGCTTTAACCGGGTTGGTGGACACGGGGAGTCCACCTAGGGGAGTTGGGAAACCCTGATTCCAAACCGATGGTTTACATGGGATCCAAGATCCTGAAGGGACAAACAGTGTATGAACCTATTGTCGGTCACTCGCTACCTGGACACTTCATCACCTGACGTTGCTCTACTGCCTTCTGGATCAGATCTTTAGGTCGAAGGATCCTGATGTGACCCCCGAAGAAAACCAAATTCTTCCGTTTGGGCACTCACACAGTATCCCACCCAACACAAAATTCAAGTGAATTTTGTGGCGCATATGTATTCGTTGCCCCCTTGTACCAATATTTATGTGTTCAAGTTAAATAATGTTATTCTTGATGCTAACCGAATCATATAGATCAAATTGTAATGTTCCCACTGTTAGTCTAAACGCTTTTGACATCACGTGTAAATATCTTAAATGTCATGTAATCAGATGTAGTTGGTAAAAGACTCTGCTTGACTTGAGTCTCTCACTATTTGACATTAGTCATCACAGGTCAAAATGAGAAAATCTAATGTATTTGGAGAGATTAGAATGTCATGTCAACCAGCTTTATAGTTTGAGACATGAATGCGCACCGCTTAGGAGTCCCATACTAGGATGAAGAATATAGTTTGAGAAGATATAAAGTATCAGATAACCTTTAGTAACATGAGTACAAGTAATTTTGTGTTAATCATGATCAGTTTATGCTTCATAGTATTGTCGATGATCTACAATCTCGTTTGCAGGTTCCCATTGACTTTTTCTAAAAATTCGATCATGAAGTTAGACCACATATGCAAAAATAATTATTATTATTCATTGATATTGATTTTTCTACGATAATTCCTTATAGTTTGAAAGTGAAATTTTATTGTTCTGGACTAATATCTTATGAAAACTCCGCCTGGAGTCCCTCCAATGGCTACTGCCGGTCTCAAGCCCAGATAAAGGAGGAGGGTTGGGCATGGCGTTAGCGACCCCATCCCGTAGAAAACTAACTCGCTAAAAAAACGCTAACCAGAAAAAAATTATTGAGTAATATATCTTATGAAGCATTTTTTTATTAAATGATCCTACAACCACTCAAACTGAATTGATATTAATAAGCAATAGTGAGGTTTATGGAAGTTACAATTGATTGATCACTGGATGTTAATCAATGTTATGTGTATCAATTCCTTCTTAGTGCAGACCAAATGCTATCGATCATGTTGCACTGTGGCCACTAATCTAGGTGACTCAACATTGTGTGAACTATGCTGTGATAAGATACACATGACATTGATCGCCAACCAGTGGTCAAACAATTGTGAATAAAACTCACTCCGACAGGAGCTTAATCGCAACCCAGATAGCCCAGTGGTAACGTCTCTGACTGTAAAGCCGGGTGATACGGGATCGAGTCCGTCAGGGAGTACCAGTTCCCTTAAGATTACAGGTACACTTTACTGACGACTGCCACGTAGCACGAAACCTGGGTCCATGGTTTCCTGTCGACTACCTCCAACCACCATCTAATCTCAGAATTACAGTTTGAAACTAGTTACTAATGATCAAATGTTAATTATCAACAAAGAGATTTATGGAGAATCTATGTAACAGTCAACATAAACTTTAATAACTAAATGATATAAGTACTTGCTAAAACTATTGGCATTCACTATTGCATAAAAACTACTTCAGGTAAATTTTATTTCAACCTTATCTTATCACAAAATCATCACCAATTTTATTGATCAACACTTTCCTTTACTTTCCATTGTTATTTTCTACAGTTCATGATCCTTGTAAAAATGGTAATCATGATTGTTCAATAAATGCTAAATGTATTGTACAACCACAAGGTACTTATTTATGCGAGTGTAATCCTTTTACAATTGATGCATCATTCGATGCTAATTATCCTGGACGACGTTGTATGTGTAAGTATTGATTTAGTCTAACAATGATAATGATTGTAATCACAAATTGATTTAAGTTAGTTAACTAGTGGAAATATGTGACTCCTCAATAGCGACTCATCTACCATTCCACAACTGGGAGTCGAACTTAGGACCTTCAGCCTTATGAGTAAACGATTATCGTGTAGGCTATTGAGCTGGATTCCAATTGTAAACAAGTCTAACTTCAATCAATCTATTTTTGCTGGGTACCTTCCTCATACTCGATAGGGTTGAATTCAATTGGTTGCAGCTTTGGATTAAAACGCTAGAAACCCATAATGACAACAATGATAACAATGGTAATAATAATAGACAAAACGGCCGTCTGAAAACGCGAAATAAATAGAGGACGAAGTGCTAAAGAAGACTGGGTAAGTAACACCTCCTTAAGTACAGATAACAGGTCCTTAGTACATATGATAGATCATCTCAAAGAGGTCACTTCAAGTGTTTGAGAAACTGACAGGCCACAACGATATTACTACTTATATGGCAGTATGTGTAGCCGCACACCACAATATACATAGATGGCTGGAGAGCATACCGATGCTCACATACACTTGATTACATGCATCGTAGACCCCACCACCAGAGTACACGAAAATAATATAGAAGCAATGTGACCGAGGCTAAAAGAATTTTCGCAACCTTATCATGGCTCCAGAGGTCTATTATTACAGAGTCACATGGATGAGTTGCTGTATCGTATGCATTACGATTTCAGAACTTTAGAGCTTCTTCATAATGTTGAAAAGTTTTTAAACCAAGTTACAGAAGTGTGTTCATTCTAATTTTTTGGTTCTGTTTAATATATTCTTACTCTATACTGACCGTTTTCTGATTTACTGAAATGTTTCAAGGTCATTTGGGATTCCTTCCAAGGTCATCCATAAATTCTTATCTTGCTTGTGAATTCAGTTGACGATTCCCAAATAAGATGAAAGATATGTGTTGGATCCCACTGCTACCCATGATCCATCTATTGTAAATAAAATTGATTATCATATCGATTATACAGATAAAATTTCCTCGGAATTCAAGATTTTCAGGAATGGTCTGCTATGGTTCCATAGTTTAATGAAACCAAACTTTTATCTAGACTCTTCCATATTTCTCTGCTAAGAATGGTTAGAGACTTGATAAATACTACCACAACCGTATTTTAACGTATGGTTCATGACATATAGTGAGAGGTTTAGCGGCCAACACGAGATCACTACCTACCATTCATAAGATTGAAATATTTAATGATATTCATCCTGTTTTAGACCGTAGTTTATTTATAAGCAGAGATGGATGACGGCTAGCATTGAAATACAGAACGTACGCTTCGCCCTATTTTGGACTTGACAACTGGATGTACCTGTATCTTACGGTCGATATTCGCTCTGGTGCTCAGTACCTTCCTCTTCAAATGCCACTATATAATCCACTTATTTACTGAGTCCAGATAGCCACTGGTTTGTGCAATGGAATAAATTTTGATTGATGCGTATTGGTCTTTGGAATTAAATGACAAGTTACAGAGTTGTAGGGTTAATAAGAGTTTCAAGGGTAGTAGTAGACAAGATTAAATATACACAATATAATTTGATAACAAATAATGAAATCATGGAGTTAAAAGGTATAAGTATTTTATGAGAATGTGTGAATGTATCTATGCTATTACAACTGATTCTGATCCATATCATCCATCTTCAACAATTGGTTGCGATTATGGTTCGAACCCCAATCAGATAGGCTACATCTGTTAACACTGCTCACTACAAAAGTTATTGATTCTGTAGACAGATTCTATGTTTTTATTTGACCTCTAATTTTTCTTCGATAATGTTTTGCCCCAGCCATCATCTCATATCAAGGTAGGTGATGATATGGCCTACTTACTACATATTATAATCATCGTACTCAATGAAATTTTATTACCTCTTCAATCGATCTACCATCTTTACCTAGTATTTCACATTTGAATATAACATTGTTCACTCGATAATCCTAACATACCAGAACACTACTTCGAAAACATCTGAGACTCGAATCCAGTATCACTCTCTTCAAACATTATCACGTTATCCACTTAGCCAGAATGAACATCAACTCTGAGATACAAGTACATTCAACTGACGAGTCCTAAATAGGACGAGACGCGCGTTCTGGATATCACTATCCATCTTTACTTATCTATTATATTTGTTTTTTCTTTTATTCTTCTACTATTTCAGATGATGGTTTAATTATATTAGCATTTGCTATTATTGGTGGCTTCATTTGTACACTTACTGTACTTATTTGTGGATGTCGTCGAACAATATGGCGAAGATATCGTCGTGGACCAGAATCTATTGATTTAATTAATATGCCAAGAAATTATGATATTTAAAGAAGAAGAAGAAGAAAAAAGCCCAATTTGTTTTGTCACATGTTTGTTTATTTGTAAAAACAAAAACAAACAACACAAACCTGGATACATGTTTCCCTTTCATTAACAATACATGTATAATGTAAATGTCTATTCAGAACTATTTGTTCATTAGAATGAACTTATTGCCAAGTCTCCACTCTATCACTACCCCCCCCACAAACACAAACACACATACATACATACACTAAGTATTCACAAATGCACCTATGTTTACTCATTCACAAAAGATAAACAAATAAAGACAAACAAACAAATGCACAAATGTGAATAGTTCACAGAGAGAAAGAGAGAGGGCAAGAGAAGGGGGGAGAGGAAAACTTGCCTTCCACTTTTATTTTTTGATTTATTCAACGGTTTTCATCATGTTTTTTTTAAATTATGGTTTGTACTATTATTATGTTTTACCATAAACAATGATTTATTACCTTCATAACATATATTTTATGTATTTCAATTTGTTCAGTGTGTTGTTTGAACTGAATCGGTTGTTGTCAATGGATCGTGTTATTTGTTTTATAAAAAAAAGGTGTTGTTTTTCCTAATTCAGTAATATTTTCATTTTAATAGTTGAAATCATGAGTCCATTGAAGTTAGACCACCATGGAAAACCTGCAGCTAATATTACTGATGCTTTTATTATCCAGTTCACAACAATTATCATAATTTGCCTTAGTCTCTATCTGGATCGAGCAACAAAAGTTCTTGTTTTACCAAACTTTTTCCTCCAATATATATTACATCGAAATACAACATCATCACAATGGACTTCACAATTTCCAGCAGCCATTTGAACACCATAATCATAAATACAGGTACTTCTTAGTAATCCTATATGTTGTATCCACTCATCTGTAATGTTCTGATTGAGATCCGCTGTAAATCGATCATACGTGAGCATCAGGTACTGAAACTGGCTCTGTGACCTTGAGATCTCTCAAACGCTTCTTATTGGTTCGTCCATAAATTATAGTCTCACCATATTGAATATTTATCTAGATTATTTAATTATTTTGAGAACACATTTGGCGATGTCATTATTTATAAACGAACCAATCAGGTACAAGATATGAGGTCTCGGATTTTGGTGCAACATTCACCCATCCATTTGGCTAAATAGAGTTTTGACATTATAGCTGATGTCAGTTCGTGATGAAAACACTAAGTCTAATTCCTAACCTTAACCATGAACTGTAAATCATAACTCTGATTCCTCACACTGATTTATAACCCTCATTTAGTCCTGGTCAGTAGGTGGACATTCTCAAAAGGTCACTTAAGCGTGTTTTCGAAACCAATAAATCATATTAGAGTTTGTCACAGTCAAGGCATTTTATTCTCAGTTATAGAATGTTAGTTTTATTTTTATACGAATTACTAATTTCATATTTACTTACGTCTGTTACCCCTCATGTAGGAGTATAGGCCTCTCATCAGAATTCTCAATCCAACTCTTTCATAGAAAATCCTTTATAGTTGTTTCTAGTTGCTATTTGTCCTTTGAATTTCTGCTTTCAGTTCCCGACGCAGTGTGTTATTTAGCCTTCTTCTTTTTCGTTTCCATTTAGGATTCTAAGTTAGGGCTTGCCTTGCGATGCAGTTTGGCGATTTCCGTAATGTATGTCCCTTCCATCTCTAGTGAATTGTCTTTATTTCCTCTTCAGCTGAAAGCTGATCTGTTCTCACCCACATTCAAGTTTTACTGATGGTATCCAGTCAACGGACATTAAGTATATTGTGTAGAGAATTGTTTATAAATGCTTGTAAATATTTGCTGATGGTTGTGGTAATTCTCTATGTTTCACCTCCGCACAGTAAAACTATCTCGACGTTCGTATTGAAGATTATGATTTTGATATTGGTTAACAGACAGTTGCTTTGAGTTCGATACGTTCTTCAATTGTAGGACCGCTGTCCTTGTTTTGTCAATCCTCGCTTTTACGTCTGCACCAAATCCTTCTTGTTTATCGACGATGCTACCCAAATCCTTCCATAGAAATCATTAACTTAATTTCAAAATGTTAATAAGTTTATCTAAAGATTAGTTAGTGGAAACAGTAATAACAGACAATAGTTTCATTGAAAATCAGTATAGTCTCATTTACGCATGATCTATACGTGTAAACCTGTCTTATTAGTCAATTTAGCCACATCTATCGACAGATGACTATCATTTATTGTAGCATAAAGATCTGAACGGATATTGAAAGAAAACGTATTAAGCCACTGTTAGTCAACCATCATTATATATATGTAAGTGTCTAAGAAGAGCTCATATTATTTATGTTGTTATATTGTGAGAAAGGCTCACGGGTTAACTTGAGGAAGCTCTAAGACGCTCAGAAAGAGCTGAAGATATTCCATCCAATCATCTTTTGAAAGAACAATGCACAATCTCGACGTGTGTCTTCCATATTAGATAAATGACAAAAAACCCTGTATGCGGATTGGATAACTATGATGATGATTTCGTTTTTACTAAAAACTACAAATCCCTGAAAGTTTTGTACCATATTTGACGCTCTTTCGGAATAGCATTCTTTCTCACTCGTTTTCTCACTTCTCATTTTGTAACTTGGCGGGTTCTAACGTTCGATTACTCAAGTTGTACGCGGTATATCATAGAGTTTAAGCTCTAGATATAACATATATGCAAGTTTCTTTTTAAAAAAAGAAGGATGACCTCAATGACATTTACTTCTTAATAAACATTCTATCTCTTTCATCTCCTATTGATATATGAATTATCAATGTTAAAGTGTTATTTTGTAACAGAATTCCAATCTATTCAAGTTTGTATTTACTCTCATTTATTCTTAATTATTTATAGATAGGACAATACACTCTTAATTGAATGAATGAAAGTAGATACAATCAAATTTAATTAAAGAATACCTTTAGGAAGAATAAGATTATTGATAGTGTTTCTATTTAAATCGGTGTCAGTTTATCAAATCATTATTGTTATATAAACTGAAGGAATTTCTTGAACGTGTTAACAACGTGTCAATCAATGTTAATCTTTGTCTAATCAAATTGTTTCTTGTTTATTGCCTATTCAAGCTATAAATTTATTGCCATCTGGTTTTCTTGAATAACCACCATTTGTTGCTTGAGTATGATTTGCATCTAAATAGAATGGGAAGAAATTTAAGATGTACAGTTATATTACTAATGAGTAGTTAAAATAATCTTTCAAAAAATATTTGATAGCTCAATTAATGTATTTTTGTAAGCAATGACGGATAGTGGCTAGCAGTGGTATCCAGGACGCGCGTCTCGTCCTATTTGGGATTCGTCAGCTGGATGTACCTGCATCTCAGAGTTGATGTTCACTTTGGGACTCGAACCCAGTACCATTCACTTTAAACTCCATCACTTTATCAACTCAGCTACTGAGTCCTGATAGCAACTTGCTTGTGCAATGGGGTGAATTTAAATTCACTTGGTATTGTTTGGCTTGTATCTTCCCATTGAGGTTTAAGACTGCAATTGATCAGTCTGTTAATGTCATATGTACATACTGTGCGTATGCCTCGATATTACCTTAATTCACAAGCATTTTGTAAGTAATGATGACTGATCAATTGCAGTCTTAAACCTCAATAGGAAGATACAAGCCAAACAGTACCAAGTGAATTCAATTAATGTATACTGTGAAAAATAGTACACATATGAAACTTGTTAGACTTTACACATAAAGAAAAGTTAACTAAATTTATCATTCGATTACTTTCAATTAGCACTTCATCATTATAGTTCTGTACTGATATTTACGAGTAATTCAATGAACACGAATACCGTAACATTTTACAGAATTGTAATTGAAACAAGCTGTGAAAAACATTTTTTGTTTGTTTAGTGTTTAATCATGTCATTCTTGGGAACTTCGTATATTTTAAAAGTGATCTCATCAAAGTTGATATGACTCGGAGAAACGCTGTGAAATAGGTAGCATTAAGATGCCCAGTCAACTCCGCCTGGAGTCCCTCCAGAGGCTACTGCCGTTCCCAAGCCCGGATAAAGGAGGAGGGTTAAGCATGAGGTTAGCGACCCCATCCCGTAGAAAACTAGCTCGCTAAAAAAACGTTAACCAGAAAAAATTGTTCAAGCACTTTAAACGCTGTCCTGGGATTCAGGTCTTCATTTTTAAAGAGTTATGATGCCTCATGATGAAAGCTGAGTTCCTTCGGAAGTCACAAGGCCGATTTCCCTTCTGACAACCAGAGCAACCATTTATTTAGATATATGGAATACCTGTACAATGTTGGAGACCGGGAGAGTCTTCCAAATTGCTGCAGAAATGAGAAGATACAACCTAGATGTGCTTGGGATCAGCGAAACACGTTGAACAACAACGACTAGCTTCAGGGGAGCTTCTATTATACTCCGCCAAGATGCTCAGTCGTCTACATAACTAACACGGTGAATAAATTCTATTGTTAAATCTTTTGATCAGAATGGTTTTATTGAGAGGCTTTCTTTATCATCTTGGACAACATGACCAATGCTTAATTAACATATATATGAAATGTTAGTAAGATAAAGTTCTAGAAGTTAATTTGTCATTGTCAAGCTGATTGGTTAATTAAGCATCAGTTAGCGCTAGTTGATTTGTCAAGACTGAACTAGAAAGTGCATTAACAAAGAACTAATAAGTAAAGGGATATTTAGCATAAAATACTGACAGAAATTTTGCTGGTGAACTAATACTTTTCACTTCAATGGCCCTGATCAATTCATCTAAACAAAGGCTAAAAAATTCAAAAATCATTTGAAATAATGTAGTTTTGCATGGGTGTCATGTTTCACTGAAGTGTGTTTTAAACATATTTCAATTATGAACCAACAAAATTACAGCCTAATAGTATAGATGTTCTAGTTTATTTCAGCATTGTCAGCAGTTATCAGCTGACGTCTTTTCGATTCTCTTAACTGGTAAATATAAACTGATAAACTTATTTTGAAATTCACAAAGAACAAATTATGAAAGCGATCAAATCTTCTTTCCATTTGTTCTTTTCCAAGTGTACATTTTACTTTTCTACTTCAGTATCTATACTCTTCTTTTCTGTATCTCATATAGTTTATTTTTTCTTGTTCACTGTGTTGATATGATGAATGGCAGCTGATACATATACGTGCTAAGTGATATGTTATGTACAGTCAGTCAGCTACAACGTACGATCAGGCACATATGTGCATCGGTCCAAGTTGCCATACCTCATTAACACAGCAAGATGAACACCAGATTCATATGAGTGGTTAGGTCAAAGGTGGTAATATATAAAAGAAAGATTGCATATAAGGAAATAGTATAGGAAGAAAGAATTAGTTCGTAAAAAGAAAGATATGAAGCGATTTTAATCTCATAGTTTAGTTTAAGGGAAACAAAGTGTGTATACAACTACGCCATTGTGATCGATTCTGAACCATGTCACACAGAGTCTCCAACAATTGGTTACGATAGTCAGGCGGACCCCAAACAAGTAGTCTGCATCTACCAACATGGTTCAGACTAGAAGTTAGTGACTTCAAGCACTGATGCCACGTTTTGGTTTGACGGCCCCTGACATTCTTCCAACCATCCCGAACGCCGGTTAGCATTGCACGTCGTGGTAATCGGCGTTCAGGCATACGTAACACGTGGCTCCTACATCGATGTTATGTACAAGGACCTGATTTTTACATATTTTTTGGAAGGTAATATATAAAAGTATATTTTAACTGGGGTTTCATTGTGACATCAACTGTACAAACTTATAATTAAATAAATATATCACTAGTTTTTTATTACCGATTGCTTCTGAAACATGTTCAAGTCGTTCTCTACAATCACTTGTCCATATTGTAAATGGTTGACTTGGTGGGGGACGTATAATTACAGGTTTTGGAGGTCGATTTTTAAGCACCCTCCTAAAAACAAAAATTTAACAATACACAAAGAAATATATTTAATTTTTAAGATTTCAATATTGATAAAAGAGCGTTGTTTCACATCTTTTATGTTGTTCATTGGTGACGAACTGATAAGTTAATAGCTGGAGGGTAATTTTAAAGAAGGCTAAGTGTGAAAAAACCAACAAATGAAATTATTAAATGAAGAAATTATTAACTTATCCGAGTCATATCGGTGGAAGAACACTACTTAGAGTGCGTGTGGTTTTTTTGTTGATGGCTGAATGCATCAGAGAACATTAATTAAAATTGGTTCAAATGGCACAAATTCACTAATATTTTATCTTTCCTTAGATTTCAAGTTTTGAAATCATCGCAAATCTTCCTATCATGATAATTCATTCTTTCGTGCCGAATCATACCGTCCGAATATAGTACTTTCTACTTCTGATGCTATTACTACTTTTTGTACTCAAGCGTTTGTTTTGATAATTTCACCTTACTGTGCTAATGCAGTATAGTAGCACAAACCGATGCACAGATGTTACAGGTTCTGTCATACTTATGGCTGTCTAGATGGTTAGTCCCACAGACGTTTGAGCTAATGTGAACACTGAAAAAATTTTTACATTAACAACCAGTTAACTTCACTAAATATTTGAAAAAATAACATTCTACTTATGATCGGAGTAGGACCATACTAGTAAAACATGAGACTAATTATATTGAGAACTGATGTTAATTGTTCTATTAATGGTGTAAACCTGGTGAGAAAAATGTAAATTTTTGAATATGCTCTTCTTCGGATGATAAACGTTATTTGACTAAACATAATGGCAAAATAATCCAAAGTTGATAATAACTATATAGATGGATGTAATCGTGAACTTCTAAATCTAAAACTTCAATTTTAAATTGACCACTATCATTCCGTTTTCTGTTTTTTGACTCACTTTTACGCTAAGCTGTAAATTTATCAAACCTAGATATGTTGACTATTCAACTCTGAAGATGCGTAAAGTACTATGCTTGGTTGATGCATAAAACGTATTAAGTTAAATTCTGTGTAGAAGTGTGAACATCAACTTCTGAATCTTTTTATCCCAAAAACAAAACGCTGGTCGTCCGGTTCCACTGTTTAGAGTCTGATTCAATAACAATACATTACCCCTAACGATTATTCAACTAGCTACACAGAGTAAAAAGACTAGGAGTAAATGGGAAGATATTTCACCAACGGTCAAATGAACAAAGTAGTATTTGATATGTCTAGGCTTCCCATGCACGTATCTCCCTCTATAACCAGTCAGTCCAGATATTAAATGCTACGAGACATCTGCTCATAATTCAAATATACCTCTCTACTCGATCACTCTGGAATTCCGCTTTTATTAGTTTATTGATCATTTTATTAAAAGATACTTAAATATTAGTACTGTAACGTCCTGAGTATTTGCAACCTGTCTAACCCTCATAATCTACATCTGCTTCTCTTTTTATTACTCATCTGTTTTAACCAACTTCCAGCTGAAGAAGAAATTAGGAAAAGACGATGGAAATGGATAGGACATACACTACGCAAATCGTCAAAATGCATCACGAGGCAATCCCTAACTTGAAATCCTGAAGGGAAGCGAAAAAGAGGTAGGCCAAAGAACACATTAAGCCGGATAATATAAGCAGATATGAAAAAGATGAATTACAACTGGAAGGAGCTAGAAAAGATTGCCCTGGACAGGGTTGGATGGAGAATGCTGGTGGGCGGCCTATCCTCCTTCACGAGGAGTAACAGGCTGTTTTAACTTTCCCCTCTCTTTATCCGGTTCTTTTTTATGCCTCGTCATAGAGTTTGTGGACTTCAGTAGGTTTAATTTGATAATGCACAATCCACTCCTTGGTTATGAGTCAATATCCAAAACGATTTCGTCGTAAAGAAACTTTATCAACACAATTTCGTTGGTTAAAAACTCTGACGTGAACCATATTCTTAGAAGTAACGTTGCAATAGTTTATCCAGTTATATCCTTATACGCTTAGTATATCTCAATCTTTTTCTTCAAAATACGGTACAGAGACTTACATGTTTAAAGACAGGGCATAATATAGCTTAATCGTAAAAACATCCGTCCACATGCTCTTCATATGCCAAATTAACTAAATATTTAGCACGCTTTGGTTTGCGAGACAAACATCAAAAAACGTTGACACGTATCAGTTTTAGAAGAATAAGACTAGTATTTTACGTTACCATTCTAGTTTGATCTACCTATAAGCCATATCTCTTGTCTAGGAAAGCGCAAATTAGTATTACGTTTCGTATGGCACAAAATCATAGAAGCTAAAATCAAAATCCAAGGGCAGCCCCAAATGACGAAGTGTTCGTAAACGAGAATAAGTCTCCAAAATTGCTTGTTAGTCCACTTTGATAAGTTCTTTTTCATCTTATTATGATAAATTCTTATTATACTTCAACACACTTGTTTTCCAGTTTGCCAATCATAAGGAAATTTCAGTGTTTTCCGAAACATCGCATACAAACTCGTATTTTTCCCCAAAATTTGAAGTGATTTTGGTGAGTTATTCAGCAGAAGCTGAAATTTTTACAAAGCTGACATAATTTCCCGAAACTCGGAAGATTACGTTTAAAAATTTAAGAAAACGGATTTTAAAACAGTGCATAGACCATCAATAAAAAACATATATTTGATCATACTTTGTTTTATTTAATGTTTCTAGTTGTATCAAAGCCTCAGCGTTGGACTTCCACCAATAGATATGCTGATCATAGTTTGCTTTTAACCTGAAATCTAGATCATCGTTTGGAGCCTCTGGATCGAAATATTCGACCTTTCGTATACACCGACGTTTACGTTTTTAACTTACTGTATGTCTGAGACTAGAAAGAGTATGGTGCGTGCAAAGTTTATTCCAAGGATCTTCCAAACGTGCCAAATGCGGAGGAAGACTGAATACTTTGTGCTTCAGTACAGTAAGATCTATTGATGTACATACCTCTTTTTTAGGCAACCGCGTCAAAGTATCATCGTTTTCAAGTGCAATTGGTGGGTGCGGATTTCGTCCAGATGGACACATAATTGCCTCAAAATTTCGAAAAAATGACAACTCTTGTTGTCATGTGAAGCGGTTAAAACAAAATGGTTCAAATGGTTCAAGTGGTTGTGGACGGAATAGAAGAAGCTTTCGCTTAACAAGCTTCCGTGTCTAGTAGCAGGGGATCACCAAATCCTCCAGGCAGGAACCTAGGTATGTTAACAATAAAAAAGGAAAAGAAATTGGTAAATCATAATGTGATGCTGTCCTTGGTCCTTAAGAATAGGTCAAGTTGCCTCTTGAAGGACTCCTGAGAAGTCGCTTGGACTAGCTCGGCCGGCAGCGAATTCCAGCTTTTGACAACTCTTAAGGAGTAGAAGTTGTGTCTACATTCCGTCTTGCTATGTTGTGTTTCCAGTTTCTGGGTGTTACCCCTTAGGTTATTATTCGAACTAAGCTTAAGTAGGTGTTTAAGAGGATGTCCAGAAGTGTTAAGAATACTATAAGCCATTAATAAATCACCTCTAAGACGCCTATATTCTAGTGGGTAAAGGTCTAGTGAACGGAGGCGTTCTTCGTAAGGCTTAGATTTGAGTCCTCGAACTGATTTCGTGGCTCGCCGTTGGATACGCTCAAAAGTGACCTTGTCCTTTTGGAGTGAGGGGGGGAGTACTATGTTTCCGTACTCTATATGGGGACGAATGAAACTATTGAAGATTGTATGGAAAATTCGTCCGTCAAACTGTCCAAAAATGCGCTTCAACGTTACCAGTGCAAGGTTTGCTCGGAAGGCATTTTTGTCACAGTTAGCGCAAGACTTTAAGTCAGGACTCCTAAATCCTTTTCGACTTGGGATACTACTAGAGAGGAGTTTCCTAAGTTGTAACTGTAGTTTGCGACATGTCGCAGATGGACTACTTTACACGTTGAAGTGTTAAAGGTAAGTCCGTTAACGTCTGCCCAACTTTGAGTAAATGAGTAAAATGAAAAACGCTTTTGCTAATATTGTTTATTGTGTTAAATTTTGTTTCCTTGACAAACTTTGTCATCATGTAAATATATGTTTCACTTATCGTTACCTAAGTGGCCAAATATTAGGTTGTGGTAAATAAATCCACATGATAAGTAGTCCTAAGAATCCTCAACATAGGACCCGACCTCATTAATTCAGTGGGAATACCTTAACTGAAAGCTCTCGGTCACGTATCCGCACCAGATAACGAGTGTGTGTAGTGACTTATTTTTATCAAGAGAACACGATTGGTTTAATGAAAACAATTATTATTATAACCAATTGTACCAGTGACTGTTTAATGTACTCTTTGTTTAACTGTGCTAAAAATGTTCATTATACTCACTTCGATTGTGACCTAGCGCGAATCCGGTTACGCTCAGTAACTAAGTTTGTATCCTGTCACGATCTCGGTATTCTTTCGATACCACAAGATCGCCAGCAAATATATCTCGGTTCGGTCCATTAACTGCCTTCTGATATTTCGCTTCCGGGGGATTTTATGGATATCCTGTCACGCGTTCCTTTGTAGTGGTGTTCATAGTCAATTTCGACTCCACGCCACACTACATGTGTATGCCATGCTAAACGTTCCTTGCGACTACTAGCCAGCTTAGATTAAAGGCTTCTCAGTATATCAACAATCTTCATCATGTATCTTCGAACCACTTCATATATGAATCTTGATCTGACTGGCTTAGTATACTTAAATAATATAGATGATGCGTGTAGCGGATGCATGACCGAGCGCCTTCAGCTAGATGAGTCCACTAAAACATATGGTCTGCATCCAATGTCGAAAACTTAGGGCTATTTATTTTGGGGATTTATTTACCGCTACAGATCACTCCCCCTCTAGTGAGGCAGTGACGACCCTAAGACGTGGCCAGCCAGAAGTTTAAACCCAACGAGTTTGTCGTTGGTAAACACTCTTCTGATAGCTTACTAAGTGTAG